TACCTTAGTTTGAAACATCTTCTAAAATAAAGAATGTAATAAAAAATCCTAAACATTACAGAATAGTTCTTGGCTCATCACAGTTTACTTTTAAGCAAACAGACATCAACATCTTGCAAATGTAAATATAGATATAGATATTAATATTTACAAAAATATAAATGAATACTCAACAGAATTATTGAATGAATTGTATCAAATAGTATAGATCTTCAATAAAAATGGAAATTAAACAAACACGTTCTTCATTATAGGAGTTTGTATTCAGTTGCTTCATGTGCGTTCTTTCTTTATGTTGATGCGTAAAACTTCTTGCCACTTTTGTCATTTGCTACTTTACTTAGCTGGAGCTGCAGTTTTTGAGCTACGAAGGAAGCCGAAATATGGTGGTTTAAATTACAAAACTGTATAAATAATGCATATATTATATAGTACATATTATGTACTATGTATGTATATTATATAATATATTATATTGTATGTATAATAGATGGATAAATTATATCCATATCTAGATATTTAGATATTGAATATATTGGTAGAATTTGCATTTATTTGAGAATTTAATTAGTCATTATTGACATATTGAAATCAGGGAAGAGAAAGCTCTCAGACCACTTTATAGTTGCAGCATGCAGACGCAATACACTGAATTCACCATAGTGCTTAGCATAAACTACTAATTTGACAGTCAGATTATGTTTCTATTATACTCAAAAACTTGTATTCTTGTTTTTAATTAAATATGTAAACAAATAATTTAAAAATGTAAACTTCTCGAAAATTGGGTTCTTACTTATTTTTTTTACTGTACGTACCTGTCTAGAATTTTATTAACAATCTTCTTAACCCATGAGGTTGTTGGTTCCAAGCATACTTCTTGTCCATTTTTTAATGTTACTCTATGGAATGAACAAAATATATTATGTAAAGTTTCTATTGGTTTTAGTTTTCTCAACTAGAACAATATGTTCAAAATCTTAATTTATGGAATACGTAACTTTAACGACTTACATCACTTCCACATTTTTGCAGTGTGGTCCTTTGGGAATAATCTCAACATTCTGGAAATATTTAGGAGAGACAAACTTTGTCTCTGTACTTATGCAAATACACCTCAGCTCATTCATTCTTGCCATAGGCATTCCTGTAAAAGAATAACATCGTATTAAGTTGTTAAAGTTCAGACATCTGAAAACTCTTATTCCAACAAAATATAGAATGGAACAACCACCATCCATCCATCCATCCTTTGCAGTTGACACTATGAAAAATCATATCGGCTTTCTATTTTTTTGCAAAAAGTGCAATAATATATATCTTTGCATCACAAATCTAAATAAGTTAACTAAAAAAAATAAAAAAAATAAAACCTTTAAGAAGTCGTAGTAATGAGTGTTAATTGTTGGTTGGTAGCATATTGATTAACACAAATTTCAGATAAATAGGTTTGACTTAATTAACAAAATAGCTTACCATTGCATCCTAAAGAACATGCCAAGCAAATAGCTAAACAAAGCAGAAAACTTCTATGAGCTTTCATGTTTACTTCTGTGTTTCAGGCTTTATCGGTGTTTAGCTGGGGTTATCTGTCTTTGTGATGTATGTTTTAGCAGCAGTGATTTCTTTTATTTGCAGAGACAGGCTTAATTGTGAAACAGGAATTTCCAAACTCCATCAGCCCCTCTTCTAAGAATGTTTAAAAATATTCACTAAAAAAAAAATAAGTACGGAAGGAAGACTGATTGTCATTCTGTCATTCGACATTTTAGACTGCTGGTGATATCATGCATGCATTCATTCCCCACAATGTATGGTTTGAGAGCCACTGTGTAGTATGGGAACCAATAATTTTGGTCAACGCTAAGGCATACATGTTCTAGACAGTGTGAGATTAGTGGGAGTTATACATCCTGATGGCAACTACAGTTTGCGCTGATGACAGTTGAATGCATGGTGGCAAGTACAAAATAGCAGCTGCCATTAGCGAGTGTAACTGCTGCTAATCTGAGGCACACCAGGATATGCATTGCTTTAAAGGGACATTGTAGTCAACAAAACAACTTTAGCTCAATTAAGCAGTTTTTGTGTATAGATTATGATTGTGAAGTCTTACTGCTCAATTCTTTGCCATTTAGGAGTTAAATCACTTTTGTTTGCTAGCCACACCTACCAAGCCTAAATAAAAAAAATGTTTCATTTTCAATCAGAAGTTCAATCAAAGCATTTTCAATTAAAAGTTAACTGACTTTTGAAGTTTTATCTCCTGCTTTGTAAATTGAAATTTAATCACATACATGAATCCCTTGAATTTTTTTTTTTTTAGCTGTTAACAGAGCAGGAGTTAAGAAGTTCTTATTTAACCCCTTAAGGACACATGACATGTGTGACATGTCATGATTCACTTTTATTCCAGAAGTTTGGTCCTTAAGGGGTTAAACAGACTGTGCAATTAAGGAAGTGTAAACATTAGATCTTGCTTAACAGGTTGTAAAGAAACAAGTGTTTAGGAAGGCTGTGCAAGTTACATGCAAGGGGGTGTGACTAGGGCTGTATGAACAAAGTGATTTGATGCCTAAATGGCAGTGAATTGAGCAGTGAGACTTCAAGGGTATGATCTATACACCAAAACCGCTTCATTAAGTTAAAGTTGCTTTTGTGACTATAGTGTCCCTTTAAGGTTAAAGGAGCCCTAACCATTAATCACTAACACATTAACATTTGCAGTAACATTCCCACTTATACTGATTATAAAACCACCCAAAATACTAACACCAGCCCTACTCCAAACAACAAACCTGACACAAAAAAATCATGAAATATAAAATATAGATAATGGTAAAATGTTTGTTGTTTATTATCCTCTTCTTGCAGACACATATTTATAGACTATTGGCAGGTTATGCAGCCATACCCCAAAATCATATATGAACAATTTTAATTATTGAAAGAAAATTGGTTTATTTTGTTTATTGAAAATAAATGTACTATCTTACAGTCACCCTCATACACACACAGTCACCATCATACACAGGTACCCCACCAAGGAGAGTATACATTCTAGACACACACACAGTCAACCCTTACACACACAGTACCATCTCACTATAAACACAGAGCACACATCAAAATGAAAACAGCCCCCACCTCCCATACACATAACATTCTGCAAGTCGTTTCTCAAACACATACACAAGCATAGATGAATTCAATCATTTTTAGTTCAACTATTTTGACCTCAAATTTGAAATTTGAATTCACCTTGAATTCTCACTTTAGTTATTAACCTTGACAGATATACACATGCCTACAGATATATGCAGACAGACGCAGATATGTTTTTCAGACACAATCACGGATACACATACACAAAGATATACACTCATAGATGCACAAGGGGACTCACTGCCAGACACACAATCTCAGACACATACACAGTTACACAATGCAATACATGCACACATAGGTAACATACACACTGTTAGATGCAGTGTGATCTTTGAATACTGAAATGAAACGTATATTTAAACATTATTTTCCATGTTAAAAAGTATTTTGTCAGAAAAAAAATATGCAAATATTTTTGCCTAACAGTGTTCATATTTCATCACCTACACAATGGAAAACAAAGAGAGTACCAAAACTCCCATAACGATGAATAGCATTATGCAACAGCATAAACCCTATGTGTACTCCTGGCAGGAGTAGGATACTCCATGTTCACTAAATAACTTAGCAAGAATCAGACATTCATTAACAGGTGCAATCTTTTAAGTTTTAATGCCTACTCCAAATAACTAATATAAATAATCCATGAAATATGAATAAACAAGGTTAAAACACATATGGGAATTATTAAGCACAATTTGAAAACTGAACAGCAAAATCTTGATAACAATAGCCAAACTGTTCTCAGTCATTGAGTTCTTCAAATTGCAGTGTCATTAATGAAGTTAACAAAGTTTTCATTACATGTAGGAAGACACATCATCATCCTCAAATAAGTCATATCCTTTATGATTAGAAATCTATTGATGGATGTTGCAGTAAGCTATTCGAAAGAAAGAACATCTAATGGTAAACTTTACTAAGCATTGGTAATGCATGATGGGAGCAAAAATATGATATCTACGGCACTTACAATAAATCGTGTCAAGGATTTTCTAAGTAAATTGGAACAAAAAGAAGTTTTTATTTATCATTGGCAGCGCTATTCAGTCCTGATGTTGCCAAATGAGTGGGACAATCCAATTTAGAATAAGATCTTAAAAGAACAAATTGTTATGAGGACATGGACCAACGCTGGTCCAAACTGCTTATCGACCACGTGACGGTTTATGCCGTTATTCAGTGCAGGACTTTAATGCACCTTGATGGAATAGACTGCCATGCAGTTAAAGCATGTGCAGGAGTTAAATGCCTGCTGGTACCAAGTAACCTCAGACATCTTTTAATGCCTGAGGGTCCCCTCTATCATCTGGTGCCACAGTTAGTATGTCCCAGTTGGACACATGAGCTATGTGCAGTGCTCAAAGTGAGTGCTGCACATAGCCCTTTAAATCCTTTAAACTACCACAGCTGAACGATCTTGCACAGCAGTGTTATTTTTAGATCTGTCCCCACCCTGCAGAATATTTTTTAAAATGGCGATTCCCAGGTATATTTCAACACCTGAAGGTTCACTCTATCAGTTGCAGCCACAATTAGTAAAGGCAGAAGAGTTATATTTCTCTTTAAATTGATTTAAATATTGTTGCTGAGTGATCGACCATGATAAATTTAAATATGTAATTGTCTCCCTCAGTATTCTAGTGCCCCCCCACCCAGTGTCAGGGAGATCTCCAGGGTTTGTGAAGTCTCCCTGCTTGTCTCATACTCCTGGATCAGTGCTGCGCTATTTCAGCTGTCCTGAACTGATCAATGTGTATAGGAGCTGCAGCATGAGATGGAGTTATCCCTCTCATGTTTCAAACACAAAGAATAGATCACTGTATGAGCTAGAAAATCCATCTTCTGGTGTCAGCAAAGGGAATCCCTGTGGGGTGGGTTTAGTGGATTACTTAGGGGATTATGGGTAGGATTATGGGTTGGATTATAGATTGGAATATAGGTTGGGTTATGGGAAGGTATGTGTGCAGGATTAAGAGTTGGATTATAGATAGGAATATACGTTGGATTTAAGGGTGTGATAAAGGGTTGGTTTTAGGGTAGGATTAAGGGTTGGATAATGGTTGGTTTAAAAATTGGTTTAAGGTTTGGATTAGGAATTGGATTAGTGGCAAGATTAGGGAAATAATTTGGGCTATTATAATCGGGTTTGCATTAGTGGGACATACATGGTCTGAGAATTTCCCAAAAATAAAACACTTGTAGAAAAAAGAAAACAAAAATTAACTAATTTGATCTAAGCTTGTGATAAAAAGGTTGAATTAAAAATGTCATAATGCACTTAGTTACATAGCCTGGGTGAGGTACTTTCTACAAATATATAAAAGAAGAAAAACAACCACAACAAGAGGACACAGTCTTAAATTAGAGGGGCAAAGGTTTAAAAATAATATCCAGAAGTATTACTTTACTGAGAGGGTAGTGGATGCATGGAATAGCCTTCCAGCTGAAGTGGTAGAGGTTAACACAGTGAAGGAGTTTAAACATCAGACAGGCATAAGGCTATCCTAGATATAAGATAAGGCCAGAGACTAATGAGAGCTTTTAGAAAATTGGCGAGACTAGATGGTCCGAATGGTTCTTATCTGCCGTCACATTCTATGTTTCTATGTTTTTATATACTTTTATGAAGCGGATTTGGATTCTGTGACTACTATAAAAATTGCAATCTCAGCATACCAAATTAAGCAAAGTTTTAGCTTAAAAAATGTAAATCACTTTGGCAGTACTTGTTTTACTGGGCATTTACAAAATTGGGACTAATTAGTGAATCTATTTTGAGTTAGTTTTCTTTAATTGCATGTGGTGTGTAAAAATAAAAAATGTAAAACTAAAAACCAAATTTTTTTTTCATCTTTTAAATGTTTTGTTACTATTTAATATTGTTTAATGCAATAGATATAGAGTTATCAAACAAAAATATATTTAATATGTGTGGATGCATAAGGTAGAATTATTACATAGCAAAAGAAGTACCAAA